TTTTTTTTTTTTTTTTTTTTTGGTGCCAAGGATCAAACTTCAGTCCTTGCACTTGAGCAGCAGGCAGCAAAACCACTGAGCTAAATCCCCGGCTATCTATTATTATTTATCTATCAGGTTGAACTCACTAAGTACTATATTCTTTGAAATATGGAATATTCGTAATTGTCCATTACACTAGACTGGCTTGCTTGCAAGACGAGGAAGCTCTGAACTCCATCACATATTTTGGAACATTCTTGGCACATTTCTTGTGGACTGTTCATGCCCTCCGTCCCCCACACAAAATTCTGAAAAAAAGACAGCTCCATTTTAATTGTTTTCTTCATCAGCATGGATGCAAAAGGCCTATTTTCATTAGTATTTTTTAACTTACATTGTGCTTTATGATATAAAGGACAAGAAACATTGTGTGTATTCATTGAAAATCAAATATAAACAGAAGCATAAAGACATCTAAAAATTACTGTGATGCTCTACTTGTACTCTTTTTGTAAAGTGCATTTTAAAATAAGCTTGGGTTGAATAATTGCCTGTGGGTATACATTAAATGAAATAATCTGCCATTGCAAAGTTAGGGATTCAACACTTCCAATCACTTTAAAAGCTGCCTTAACTTCTGTTTACTAAAGAAAGCACATTTATATTTTGAGCTATTTCGTTTATCCAGTGGTTAGTTTTTAAAGATTGAAATACTTCCAGCAAGCACATTTTCATCCTCTAGTAAGACAACATTTCATATGTTTTATAATGTTAGAAGCTATCTCACGGGTTTTTTTTTTCCTCTCTAAGGAAAATTGTTAATGATTGTTAGTAAGATTGTTTATCTTTCAGTTCATTTATTTTCACAGTGGAAGCTTGTATATCCCTATGCTTTTAATTTAGATGATATCCAGCAGAGATATTTAAGGTGTTTCCAGGGAAAATTTGTGGGTTTCTTTTCCTATTGTAGAATATCCTGTTACATATTTGTAAAGAGATCCATTGGTGTATTGAATGAAACCTCACACGTTTATTTCCTTTTTCCCTTATATATTTTTATATTGAGTTTCTATATCTATTTTCTTTCTTTCTTTCTTTCTTTCTTTCTTTCTTTCTTTCTTTCTTTCTTTCTTTTCTTTCTTTTCTTCTTTCTGTACCAGGGATTGAACTTGGAACCTTGCGCTTGCGAGGCAGGCAGAGGAACCACTGAGCTAAATCCCCAGCCCTTTAGATTTATTTTGTATGAAATGAAAGCAGGTACAGAAGGTAGCTAAAGTGTAATGTGGAATAAAAGTAAAATTTTGTATGACAGCCATTTAGGAAACCAGATTTTTAGTATTGGCCTTTAAAAGTAGATCAAAGATGAATACTAATATAGATTCAATAGTAAAAGTTCTTTGTCATTAAATGGTATGACCTTTAAGTATTAGCACAAGATCAAAATAATTTGTTCCTTCATTAAAGTTAGCTTGAGACTAGTTTGTGATTACATTTTCATAATTTTTCCCTATTCATACCATTAATATTTATTTAGCATCTACTACTTGCTAGATACTGTGTAACATTTTTTATGTATAGGCTTTTACAAAAAGTTCATCTGCTCTAATAAATGATATCAGCTCTGTTAAAAAGAATAAATCAAGGGTCAGGGATGTAGCTTAGTGGCACCACACTTGCCTGGTAAGCGCAAGGTCCTGAGTTTGATCCCTGGTACCACACCAAAAAAATAAAAGAAAGAAAGAAAATTCTCTTACAGTCCATAGTGAGGTTAAAACTCAGCAATGTCAGGCTTAACGTTTTGTGTAAGTACTATACTATTCCAAAACATGATTATACATAGCTCTTTTAAGGAGAAAATGCTACTATTTTAAAAGAATACATTTGTCATGTTATTAGAAAGAGATTCATTTGAATCCCATCTATTAATGATAAATAGTACAGTTGAAGCAGTAGCTGAAACTTGTAAATAAACATTTAATCAGTGCCTTCTGCATACTCACTAAAAAAACTTTACAATAAAATGAGGGATGCAAATATTTCATCTTTACAAACAATAAGCTAATTCACCTAAATTTTTGTATTCAGTTGTTGAAAAATATATCTGGAGCATATAATGCCACTACCATCATATAAAAGTAATTTTTTCCTAATCTTTAATAAGGTATTAATTCAATAGGAAAATAAGTGTTTGGAGGAGGAACTACAAAGCAGTCAAATTTCAGAAGAATATAAATTTAAACTTCAAAATTGCTTTCAAAAGGAATGATTTGTAGTCTATAATAGGATCAATAATCTGCATAATCTTTAGTATATATTTAGTGTTTTTAAGAAATAATCCTGGTTTTTAGAGATTTTAGAAGCTTGTGATTATAAATAGATGAAGCTGCTCACATGTTTTTTATATTTTATGTTTATCTCAAAACAATAACTATAAATTGATATTCTTTTGAATCTTTGATTCATTATGATGTATTTATGTAACAGCTACTATAAACTGATATTCTTTTGGATGTTAGATTCATTGTGATGTATTTATGTATTTTAACTATTTGCTAAATTGTGTTTACTTTTTTTTTTTTTTGGTACCAAGGATCGAACTGTAGTCCTTGCGCTTGCAGGGTGGACGGTGGAACCGCTGAGCTAAATCCCTCGCCCAAATGTGTTTACTTTTATTTGTTCAGATTGCAAAGTTCTTTGAATTATAAATTATATGACGAATCAGTGATTATTTGAACCTGACTTGATTTTTCTTGGCTCTTGTGAGTAGATGTGCTAAGAACTATGTCATTTGTTTTATCTTCTGTAAAGATATATTGGTGGTATAAAATACCTGATGTCATATATATTTTTAAATCATCACAAAAAATCTTGATTGCTCATAAGTTTAAGATGTAAAAACAGCTTATCACCCCACTCTTTATTTTTTTAAGGTGATGGATGTGGACACACTGTACTAGGCCCTGAAAGTGGAACTTTTGCATCCATAAACTATCCGAAGACCTGTCCCAACAGCACTGTTTGCAAATGGGAGATCCGTGTCAAGATGGGAGAACGAATTCGCATCAAATTGGGTGACGTTGACATTCAAGATACTGATTCTTGTCACTTTAGTTACTTGAAAATTTATAATGGAATTGGACTCAGCAGAACAGAAATAGGTAGGACATTTTCTTAAAAATGTATATGTAGTACATTGTTGCTTTAAGTTTTAAAACTAAAGCAGATTCATGTTTAACATTGAATAACTGCTGCATGAGATGATCTGTGAGAAATTATTGAAAATGTGTAGAAATCTCAAATTTGAATCTTCTTTTGGGAAAGAAAGGCTCTTGTCTATTTACTTTATTTACTTTTCTAATAAGCAAGCCTATGTTGGTCTCTTTGCACAGGATACTGCTACACTACTTCAAAGAAGGAAGAAATCTCATTTTTTATGTTTTCCTTCAATCATTTTATTTACAATAGGAAATATGAGCATAATTCATACTTATGAAGCAGTATAGCAAGAACATGGGTTTTGGATCCAAATTACCTGGGAGTAAAGCCTCATTCTGCCATTAGCTGACTGTGACCTTGGGCAGTTTACCTGACCTTTCTAATTTCTCATTTATAAAACAGGGATGAAACTAGTACATGTAAAGTGCTTAGAATTATACTAGACACATACTATGTATTTAGTAAATAGGTATACTTGTTACTTGTTAAAAGCAGTAGTTATCAATTATAGCCAGATAATACAGTCTTCTAAGGAGACTTTTTACAAAATACTGATTTCCAATCATAGACCAGCTGAATTAGAATTGCTTGGGTGAGACTAAGGCTTCAGTATGATAAAAAGTTTTCCAGGAAAATTCACTTTGCAGCCAAGGTTTGGAAACTTTAGCGTAGAGATCAGTACCGTTCTCTCTTTTTTTGGGAGGGGGCTACCGGGGATCGAACTCGGTTCCTCGCGCTTGCTCAGCAGGTGGCGAAACCACTGAGCTAAATCCCCGGCCCCAGTACCATTCTTTTAAGGAATAAATTCAGAAAGATTAATAAGGCAGTTTTTGTGAAGTAATGTTAAAAAATTAAGAACTCTTGAATTTTCTTTGTTTAGAAACATTTATTGGTGATAGTATGGAAAATGTCTTTCAGAGCTATACTAGGTACCTAGGATCCTGTTCTTTAAATGCCATACTGCATTCATTCTCTGACCTCCCCACCTCTGGCCAGAACTTTGACTTTGCTCCCCTTATCCTCCAGAGGAAAAGTTTCTGCTTTATTTCCCTGGTTGATGAGTCATAACTTCTGTTTGTCTCTCATCAACTCTTGATTATTAACATGGTAGCTTGATCACCACATACATAGTTCCATCAATATAAGATGTTGGATAACTTTTAGAAATTCAGATCACCTGAAGATATAGAAACACTATTTCTATAATATCAGTAAAAGACAACTAAATAGTAAATGCCTCCTGACAATGCAGTAGAGGGTGGGAACTAACACTCGAGCATTCTTTTTTTTGGTCCCGGGGATTGAACTCAGGTCCTTGGCGCTTGCGCAGCAGGCGGCAAAACCACTGAGCTAAATCCCCGGCCCTCACCCGAGCATTCTTGAAACAACATTGAGAAAAGGTGAGCCCCAGCATTGTCAAGTATTTTACAGGATTTTAAGGAGATGAAGAAGTATATTATACTATAAAGACTAAACTAAAAATAGAAGCTATATAGAAAAAGTGACCTAGTTTCATGGGGGAACTATTGTATATTGAGACAAACCAGCTAGAATAATGTGTGGGTCTTGTTTGAACTTTTTTTTTTAGACAGGATCTCACTATGCAGTCCAGGCTGTCTTTGAGCTCATGTAGCCCAGGCTAAGCTTGAACTGAAAGCAATTTTCCAGCCACAGCCCTCCTGAGTGCTAGGATTATAGGTGTGTACCATCACACCTGGCTCTTGTTTGATTCTTGATTTAAGTTAACTGACAGAAGACATTTTTAAGGTATCGGAAATGTTGAGGATTGCAGGTCAGTGGTAGAGTGCTCACCTAGCGTGTGTAGATCCCTGGGATTGATCCCTAGCAGATTACACACACACTCACTCACTCACACATACTCAGAACAATTTTCAGAGGAATTAGGTATGCAGTGATAGTAAAGAATGATTATTGTAGATGTGATAATGTTAAAATTTTATTTTTACTCTAATTTGTTAGAAGCATTCTGAAGTTCAGTTAAAATGTCTAGGATGTATTTTTAAATATTTTGGGGGAAAAAAAACAAAACAAGGATGGCTCATTGGGCAAGTTGCATATGGGGCACATAAGAGTTGTCACACTCTTCTTTTTGTGATGTTTTGGAAATTATCATAGTGAAGTTTTTTTAAATAAAAGAAGACAAGATAATTGTCTTTGGATAATAAATAGTGGTACTTTTACTAGAGTGAAATAGTAACATAGGAGAATTTTAGAATTAGGTTTTAAATTGCTCACAGGTTCTATAGTCATGGCTTCAGCAGTTTCTTGCTGTGAGTCCTTCCTGCAAGTCACTGAACCTGTCCAGACTGCAGAGTCATCTTTTGTACCTTATCAGGGTTAGATGAAATAAAACACAGCAGTGTCTGGCATGTGTAAGTGTTGAATGAATTTATCTGTCCCTTATTTCCATAGATTATGTTTTTCTCTTTATTCCCTCTGATTGAATACAAAGCTGCAGAAAGGTTCTTGTTCAAGAGTTTGGTTGAGTTCTAGTATTTTGTTGCTTATTTTTTGTCTAGTTGATCTACCTGTGACAGTGGGGTATTGAGGTCCCCCACTACTGTTGTATTAGTGCTTATTGGATCTTTCATGTCTGTTAATATTTGTTTTATATAATTGCGTACACTCATATTAGTGCATATAAACTTATGATTGTCATCTCTTCTTGTATTGTTCCCTTTACAAGGATATAGTGGTCTTCTTTGTCTCTTTTAATTAGTCTTGGTTTGAAATCCATATTATCTGCAAATAGATAGCTACTTCTGCTTTTTTTTCAGGTTCCTGTTACATGGAGTATTGTTTTCCATCTTTTGGCTTTCAGTCTGTGAATTTCGTTTTGAATTAAATGTGTTTCTGGTATGCAGCATATTGTTGGATCTTGTTTCTTGATCCATTCTGCCAGCATGTTTCTTTTGTTGTTTTTCTTTTTTGTTTTTTGTATCGGGGATCGAACTGAGGACCTTGCGCTGCAGGGCAGACTTAGTGCCACTGAGCTAAATCCCCGGCCCCACAGTATGTTTCTTTTGATTGGTGTGAATTGAGACCATTTTCATTGATGGTTATAACTAATATGTATTGACTTATTCTTGCCAGGTTATTTTCCTGTTGTTGGTACTCTTTCTTTCCCCTCTGTTTAATTACTTGCCTTGCCTGATGGATTCATCCTCCTGTTGGGGTTCATGGAGTTGTAGTCTTCATTGTCTCCTTTTAGAATATTCTTTAGAACATTTTGGAGTGTTGGTTTAGTAGTCATGAATTTCTTCAGGTATTATTTATCATGGAAGTATCTTATTTCTCCATCAATTTTGAAAGATAGTTTTGCAGGATCCATCAATCTGGGTTGGAGGTTGTTTCTTTTAGGACTTAAAATACTTCACTCCAAGCTCTCATTGACTTAAGGGTTTGTGTTGAGAAGTCTACCGTAATTCTGATGGGCTTTCCTTTATAGGTGATTTCTTGTCTCTAAAAGCTTTTAAGCAGGGCATAATGCCAATTTTGTCATAAAGGCATATAAAAATGGGTATATAATATGTTTATTCTTTAGAATATTTCTATTGATGAATTATTAATTTTAATTTTATGAGTTTTGTTATATTACATAGTGAGTACTTAACAGGAAAAAATATCAAAACATTTTTTGAATCTTATTTATTGAGTTTTTCTAAAAAGCATCAAAATTTTCAACATCAACAATTTTTTAGTGTACAAAGTCTAAAAAAAGAAAAATTAATTCCTATGTGAACTACAATGAATATGCCAATAGTACTCTACAAAAAAAGAAATCTTTACTTCAATTATCACACCTAAGACAGCCTTCATACATGACAACAGCATGTTCCATATACATATATCATTTATATTGATAGCACATGTGTTTTGCTTTCCTGACTTTTTTGTAGGACATAGTTGACATCTTGGCCATGGTGTTTTAACAGGAGGTCCTTATTATGTTACACAATAGGTAGTTAACAGGAACATAAAATATCAAAATAAACTATGTATTGTACATACTTAATATGTATTGTGTGTTTAGAATAAGCAACACTTTCACATCAGCTGTTTATTTGCTTACAAAACCTAAAAGATAACATCAGAAATAATGTTAAGTCGACTGCAATGTAAATACAAACAAAAGTCAACCACAGAAATAATCTTTGCTTCAGTTTTCACATCCAAGGCAGTCTTCACACATGAAAACTGTATGCTCCATACACAAGTAGCACTTACACTGACAGCACATATGTTTTGTTTTCCCATCCTGTTTTTATTTTTTTGTTTGGTAACGGGAATCAAACTCAGGACCTTATGCTTACCAGGCAGGCACAGCACCACTGAGTTAAATCCCCAGCTCTTTCCTGTCCTTTCTTACAGGGTACAGTTGATATCTTTTCAGTTTTTCTGTTGTTGTAAGTAGGTCTTTGTGATGCTGTGCCTGCCTGTTCAACTGTCAGCTTACCAGTATGCATCACAATTTCTTTGCATAGTACCCTGGGCAGAAACATTTTGCTTTTCCTTTGCTGTAAATTATCTTTTATGAGTTTCTGCCCCAATCGTCTAAGAAAATTTCTCTATGGTATTTTGCACTTATTTTCATAAAATAGTAGTTATGCATCAGATTCTTTCTTTTGTTTTTTTTTCCTTAAATTCTTTTATTGGTACATTTTAGGTATACAGTACATTCACATTTGTCATTGGGTGCTTGTACCAGTACATGATGTATCTTGGTTCTTATTTTCCCCATTAACTGTGCGACCTTCACCCCCACCACCCTTCCCTATTTACATAGACCTTGTTTCCATTTTTTATTCTTTTCTCATAACTTTTCCTTTCCCTTCTTTCCTTTCCCCTTCCCCTCCCACCACCCCTACCCCTTTGGAACTTTTCTTCCTATTTCAAATTATCAATTACTTGTTTTAATCAT